TATTTGATATGTTGTAATATATTATCGAGTCAAGGAGCAGACACAGAGCCAGAAAAAACGAGTGAGAAAATTTAAAAAGTGTGGTGGAAAAGAAAGTGAGAAAAGTCCACAGGTAGGCCTATTTGTTTGTTTGTGTGCGTGTGTGTATGTGTGTGTGTGCATGTAGGCAGAGGTAATTCCCTTTGGATGGAAGCACTAAGTTGATGAGTCTTCCACTGTGGTCGGCCAGAGGATGAGATTATCGACCAGCCACAATTGGGCTGTGGTATTGATTCTAGGCCAGAGTCTGGGAGGGAGACGGAGGACGGCGAGGAGGAGGAGGTAGAGAAGTTAGACAGAAAGGGAGATGCCGGAGGAGCGAAATGAGGTACAATGCCAGGATGGTCAGGTCACGACTTCTTAATATTTTTGGTCCTGTGCACTCTCCTAGTGTAACTCTTTTTGTCTTGTTCCTTTTGCTGAATTATACACTCTAAGAAATGTTCTTCTTACCAGATCGACTAAACTTCTTCAAATAATATAATTCAATGATTGCATGATTACAAATCAGGCAACAGTGCAAGGATTTGAAAATTCATGAGTTCATGAGCATTTCATTCATCTTTGGATGGTGAAACACAGAATAATCTGAAGAAGCGCAGAAAATGCAAAACATGACAACAAAATGATTTAAAGTTGTTTCTCCATTCTACTCTGCAAAAGTTTGCATTTTAGTCGTGCTTCTTTTAAGAATACATAAATAATGCATAAAATAAATCAAATCAAATAAAGCGAGAAATGTTAGGATATACAATTATTTTGCTGAAAGTGAGAAGAGAGAGTTCAGTTGAACATGCAGCAGGGCAAGAGGCGGTTCAGGGAGCGAAATAACAACACAAGGTAACGAAGGAGCAGCACGAAAGAGGAAGGCAGAGAAAATGAGACTGGGGGAGAAAGAAATTATAAGCAGAGAGGGGGAAAGAATGAAGAAGGGTAGGTGTTGTGGGGGGAGGGGGGTGGTGGTGAGGAGGAGCATTTGAGGATTCATCTCTTGCTGGATAATTCCCAGGAGGATCTCTCTCCAACACTTGAAAGCTGTGAAGTGTGCGGTTCTGCTCATACTCCTCCTGGTAATTGGAAGAGGAGAGTAGTGTAGGGGGGTGGGGTGGCGCGGGTGGAGGGGGGGTGGGGGGGGGGGGGGTGGAGGGGGGGTTGGGGGGGGGTCAGGTAAAGGAGGGAGAAATGGAGGTAGGAAAAGAAAAGAGGAGAAGGGTGGCTGGAGTAGAAAAAAGATTTGGAGGTGGAGAGGAAAAGGAGGGACAGGAGGAGAGGTAAAAGTAACGAGGGGGTTAGGAGAAAGAGAAAAGAACCACCTGACCTGTGCCGTCTTTTTCATCAGTCTCTTTTTTTTTCAATCTGGTTTCTATCTCTTTTATTTTTGCTCATTAGCGTACTCCTCTTTATTGTCTCCCTCCATCCCTCCCTCCATCCTCCCTTTGCCGGTGATGGTGTGTCTGTGGTTGCAGGCGACTTCTTAAACATGGCCGGAGGCGTTTAATCATTGATGGAGGTTTTTTTCCCTCCACGCAGGCAGGCCAGCGGGCAGCCCCGACTCACTCACATGCGTCAGGACCTGCTGATTCACTCTCTGGGGCCTCCGAGCACGTGCACGTGCACACACCCACACCCACACCCACACACACACACACACATAGACGCAGGAGCACATGTGCACACAGGAACAAATATAAAGGCAAACAGAGATGCACACACAGACAGAGATAAAATGTAGCCTGGATGTGTGTGTGTGTATGTGTGTTGCTATCCACATGTGTGCATGTCTAGCTTATCCCACCAGGGACTGTGAGGCCCAATCAGCAGCAGTGAGCCCAAGTAAAAGCAGTGAAGATAAAAGCAATTTATTTGACCAGAAGAAGAAGACAAAAATATGTTTGCTTTGGCTCCAGGGCTGCACACCACATACTGTATGTCTCTACAGCTTTATACATTCTTCTTCTAGACTCAGTAAACATCTGGCTGTGTTGTTCTTAAAAAAGTAAATACACTTATATACTGTATGCTCATCCAGTATCATTCTGCTCTTTATCCACTGTAATCTGTTCCCCGTTCATATGGAGCAGGGCTTCTTCACTCAGTTTGCACATAAGTATCTCAACAACTATTGGATGGGTTGTCATGCAATTTGGTACATACGTCCCCTTCAGGATCAATTATAGCAACTTTATACTAACATTTAATCTACTGCCATAATCAGGTCGAAATTGCTATTACTTTTGGCTTGTGAGTACCTGCAAAACTGGTAGCATCAGCCTAAGCTGTACTTTGTTTGGTGCTAATTAGCAAATGTTAGCAAGCGAACAAGCTAAACTAACAGGATAAAAATGGTAAACATACCTGTGCTGTGTGCAAAATTACTCACTCACTACTATAGTAAACCCTCAATAGTGGGCAGCAAATTCAGATTTGGTACATTTACTAATTATTCATCATTTTGTGTCATCACTGACCAGTGTAGAGCAGCCAGGCTGGGATTTTCATATCTATGAAATGTGGTGCAGGAAAAATGTAGAGCCCATAGCATGCACACTACTGTTTTTGCTCTATTGTGCATATTTTCACACATATATCACACATTTCAGTGAAATGTGCACTATATAGTGACCTCAAAGATTTGAGTGTCTAAATTGCGTCATGAACATGCTAAACCAAGATGGTTACCATAAACATTACACCTGCTAAACATCATCATGTTAACATAGTGATTATGAGCATGTTAGCATACTGACACCAGCATTTAGCTAGCAACATTGCTGTGCCAAAGTACAGGCTCACAGGATGCTAGCGTGGTACTCTTAGCCTATTTAAAATGATAGGGACTACTAGTTTGGAGAATTTAAAAAATATATTGGTAATAATGATGTATTTAGTTCATTTTGATCAATTTACATGTATAGTCTACTTACTACTACTACTACTACTAATAATAATAATAATGATAATGATAACAACAATCTTTCTCTGATGTACTTATGCAGAATCCAACATCATCATATCATTTCAGTGATATGATATGAAAGGTCACACTGATTTTTAATAAATGGGAAAAAATAGGCCAGGACATATCTGCCAACCCTCGCCAGCACACGCCTGAAGATGTACAGGTAAATTTCGTTTTTCTATAATGAAACTCTCATTATTTGAAAAAGCTGACACCGGCAAGATCTCATAATATGATCACTGGCAAAGGAAATTACAGAGAATATTGTGGATGGGGGCCATATGTGTTGAAAAACCAATATGTGAATTTCAGGGACTGTGAGCGTCTGTAGCCATGGTCAAGACAACCCACCCATTTCAGTACATCCACCCTTCTTTTCATCTTACAGACAGCACAGTAGATCTGTAGCTCTGAAAATCATTGAACATCCTGATAATAAGCATAAGTACATTTGATTATTATTTATTTTGTTGGTTGGTCTATAGCTGATACAGTAGTCCCTCCATCTTGTTGTTGTGCACCAGTGGTAAAGTCCTATGCAGTTACATTCTATCATTATAGACGACAGCCTCTTGCTTGTGGTTTTTGCGCACTCCTGTTGAATTCTGCAGTAGCAGGTACAGCTTATCATTTCCCTCCCCTCTTCTGCTCTCTGTCTGTCTGTGTGTCTCTCATCCTGATCAGAGAGGGTTTTTTTTATTATTATTTTATTTCTCGGGGGGATTAAAGCCAGACCCTGTGGAGTAGAAACCCAATCTCTCTCTCACTCCTCCTTCCCTTCTCACCCTCTTTTCCATCAAATTCACTCTCTACTCACCCCCTCCCCTTCTGGCCACACAAGACTCCACCCTGAAATGGATGGATTAATGACCTCTCTCTGCCTCTCATGTAAACAAACAAACAGTATCACCTGCAGCACATTCTGTCTGCATGTGCTTATTCTTTGTGCAGTATGAATGGCTTTCTGTGCGCGTGCCTATATGTATGTGCGAAAGAGTGTACCTGTGTTATCTACCCTGTCGTATTCACTATTGCACTGTCCTGCCTGGTGAGTCATTGCGGAGGACCCATCCAGTGCATTACATCTTGGAAAAGAAAGCACACATAAAGTCTGCAGTTGTTATGTGATTGCTTCCATTAAAGTGATTATGCAATCAACGGCAGTAAGTCAGGCAGGAGGTTGACAGGCAGTCAGACCAACAGTCAGTCAGACAGACAGGGGAGTGGTGTAGACGTAGAATGCACACACACACGCACACACACACACACACACATTGATACACAGAACTCAGGCAGGGGGAATTTCTCTCTTGTTAATAATCATTATGAAACGGCTTCACGTGGAGCACTTGCCTTGCCGCACTCAGCGTGACAGCAGGTCTGTCCCGGCAGTCTCCCTATGCTCACACACTCACTTCTCCCGCCTTTCTTCAGTTCCTCCTCTTCTTCCACCTCCTCCACTCCTGACAATATTTACCAGACCGCAGGGGCTCCCAGCGGATGTTCCTCTCTATGCCTCCCTGTCTCCCCCCTCCCACTTTCTGGGTGAGCCGGGGTTTGGTGAGCCCCAGGCTCCAACACAGGCCTGCACCACTGCTTGTTTTTACCAAAGCAAACAGATGGAAATGGAGAGAGAGATAGGCAGAGCGTTGCAACCAGCTGGGATGGTGTGCGGTCTGGCACCGGGGACTTAGTTACAGATATCCTTTCTTTTTTGTTGTTTTATGCCTTGTTTTTTAACTTTAATCACTCTCTGTCGGTAAAATCCTCGATGATGTTTTCTTTTTGTCAGTACACCTTGGTGAGGGCTGTTCTGTTGATATAACTTGTACAACTGTTGCTTCTTCACTGTCTAGAGATTGATACAGCTCCTTCACTCCGGGGCAACATTTCAACACTGACTTATGAGTTTACACTCTTCATCCCCCTTGTCCAAGAGCCCAGGGAGAAAACTGAAGTCTCACTCTCCTTACCTGCCTCTCTTTTCTTTTCCTTCTCTCAGCCAAGAAAGCACCAGACGGCTCGGTGATCGCCAACGGCTATTGCGACTTCTGCCTCGGAGGCTCAAAGAAGACCGGCTGTCCTGAAGACCTTATCTCCTGTGCGGACTGTGGACGCTCAGGTAGGGCACCGCTGAAGGGGATGATTGGCAGGAGGAAGGCAGTCCTGTGTTGATGCACAATTTTAAAAAGTTTCATTTGTTGAGTGTAGATTTCATATTTACTGCATAAATAATGCAAGTTTTGATTCCAGTTACACTTAAAATGGATCGACCATACCAGTGTTTTTTGTTTTAGCCCATCTACTGCAAATCCTGTACAGCATACTTAACCTTAACCATTTGTTGTAATGTTTTAGATTTTTGTGGTATTTCACACACCTGCCCAGGCAGCCATTGGTTTACTTTTTTTTTTTACTTCAACTTGAAAAAAATTGGAGACTTGAAACTGACCTTTTTAACTATGGTGGCCCTGAAGGACAAAATATAGTACATACATCTAAAATAAAGGTTATTGAAGGTTCTCCAAATAAAAATGCAAATACAAAAATATATACAAACAGACGTAGTTAAGTAACATTAATAATGCAAACTCACTAACGTTAGCTAACAAGGTAGTACTGCCTCACACTACCTGTTAATTTAACTTAACATCTATAAAGTTTAAATTGGCAATTACAGGTGATACTTTGGTGACTTATTGTCCTTAAAGGCCACCGTATAAAAATGAAATTCATGCCTGCTTTGATTTGTGTAAGTTATGTTATTGTAGTAGTTATAAGTGAAGGTTAATTGAAAAATTTGTGCTGACTTGCCATTCAGCAGTAACACAACTTAATACGTAATAAAATAAAAACGTACAAGGACTTCACTGTGATGTATTGCCTTTTTTAGTTATTGTCTGCAAATTGATTTTCCCGTGGAAAAGGAATAGCAGCCCTTGGCTGCTTGAAAGGTAGAAACACATAAAAAATTTTTAAACAATATGCCATGCTTTGAAAAAAAAACAGTGGCACTAATGTGAAATGTTCTAAAATCTCATTCCTCAAACGCACCTTTGTGAGGTGTAAGAGTGGCAGGAATTCAAATCCAATTTTAAACCTTATTTTGAAAGCATCGACACCCAAGAAGAAAGTGCTATTCTATAATATAATCAATTTCTCAGGAATGATAACACTTCAAACACAGTTAGGAACAGGATTTTGTATTTTGTAAAGTTTTGCATAATTCCAAGAATTTAAAATAAAAAACACATCACATTAAATACAATTTAAGGTATTTGACATGTAGTTCCACTATATGCAATAAATATTATGATACATGCTCTGCAGTATATGCCAGAAGTGCATAATCACTCTTATGTCTTGTCAAACTACTGTTTCCAAGGTCAGGAATGAACTTTAACACTCAATCTGGCACTTATTTTCATTGGATTTGGTCAGGTCAGTTGATCACAATGTTGTCAAACAAACACATTGTTTGGCATTAAAATATGAATGGATTCAGTCAAATGTAATCTTGGTGTCACCTTCTTGTCTAGCCAAAAAACACAACATTAACAACTGCTGCACGCCTTTCAGTCCTGGCTTGTTGTACAACAACCAACTTTACAATTGTGATATTATAAAGCATTGTCTAGTTCTTCTTTTTGAAACCGTGTCCAATGTGCCACAAGGATCTTGGGATGAGTTTGTGAGAGAATGGTCTCCCTTAGTATGTATTTTGGTTGTAAATGGCCAACAGTAAATTTTATCAGAGTAGAGTTCAAGTATGATTTGTTTAATATGGTTGTATTATTTTTTCCCATAATAAATCCTTTTGTTTTGGTATGGGATGTGTTTGTATATTCTGGTTATATGTATACATGCAGAGATCGCAGTGTATATGGTGCAGAATTTGTGTATTTATTACTTGATTGCATGTACTGTGTATATATATATATATATATTTCCCCACATGTTTCTCTTCATCTGAAAAATAATAAAAAAAAACAGAACTAAAAAGATGTACGTGATTTGTAGTGAATGGGCTACAGCATGCAAAACATTGGTATGGTCCTCTTCTTTATAACCACTCACATAGAAGACAAATGAAGGTCAGGAAATGAGGATGACATAACAATGCTTTTATCGTTGTGATCATGTAACAGCAACTACCAGGACAAACTATAATAATAGGGTAAGAGGAGAGATAGAATATATTTTAAAAGGCAGTGAAGCGAACTGCAGTGGCAAATGACAATTTATTTTTCTGTTACACCAGCAAAATGTTGTTTTATTGTCACATTTCTTGTAGTTATCAAGATCAAAAGAAAGCTTATGGGGACTAAATATTATATTTACCAAAATTCTTAAGGTAAATACAGGGAAAATGGTGTCCAAAAATTCTTTCAGCTATCTTAAGTAATGTACATCTGTACATCACATCAACACCACTGTTGAATTCCTCTTCAAATATAAATAAATCACCTGTATGAAGCAAACAAACTGATGGACAGAGTAGATGATGGAAGGCTGTCCTCAAAATACAGGCAGTGATGGTGAAAAACGTTGTGTGGGTGTGTGCTTGTGTGTGTGTGTGTGTGTGTGTGTGTGTGTGTGTGTGTGTGTGTGTGTGTGTGCGTGTGCACCCAGGCCACCCGTCCTGTCTGCAGTTCACAGTGAACATGACGGCTGCGGTGAGGACTTATCGCTGGCAGTGCATCGAGTGCAAGTCCTGCAGTCTGTGTGGCACCTCTGAGAACGACGTAGGATCTCACTTTAGACAACATGTTAACCCTAAACACATGTGGCTGCACACACACACACACACACACACACACACACACACACACACGCACGACTAATTGTACATATAGTACATAAAATTGTAAACCTTACAACATAATCCTTGGATTTAGGCAGAGCAAGTTTAGGCGATACTGATATTTATACTTTGAACAATGAGATCCAGGAGCTTCACTGGCTTGCTTACATACTTGAGAGCATGGTTTGATCCCTCTGGCTGAAGAATGACTTCTAACCACTGGGCAATACTGTTGTCCAGTTAGTCTCACTGGGCTGAAACAGATTTAAACTCATTTCAAAGATACACAGATGTCAAACTGCAGTTTTTTAAATTCACGAAGTGTAAGCAGATATTTGTATTCACACAAACTGTAGTGCAGTTAACAAGTGCAGGTTATTTATATAATAAATAAAAGTCCACATGGTTAACAGTGTTAACCGAGGGATATGTATACCACACCTCGACCTCTTGCTTTATATTCACTATTCACTACTATACACAATAAATTAATGCTCTTGTGTCCACACCTTTTTATATCTGCTCCCACTTAAAAACATCTGTTTATGTAAATATTCTCCTCTGTTCCAGGACCAGCTGTTGTTCTGTGATGATTGTGACAGAGGCTACCACATGTACTGTCTGAGCCCTCCCATGTCTGAACCACCAGAGGGTATGTAGAACAATAAGAAGTGTACAATTATAACCAAGGGATGCTGCACACATGGAGCTCTCAAACATGTTCATATCAAGGACTACAGAGTATATGGTGAGACTGCACAGCCCAAGGAAACTTATCTGAGAACATTTTTGTTTTTTGTACAGATGTACCCCTGTCTGTACTGTAGGTAGAGAGACAGTCACAGTGAGGGGAGTGAAATATGTGGTCAAAACAGCCAGACTGTCCACATTGTGACATTTAGGTAGTGAAAAAGCAACAATAATTTAACCCATCATGTGCTGGAGAACCTCAGGACCCCTCGTGAATGTGCATCTCTTTGTAGGAACATCTAAATACACTATGGGCTGGAATGGTCCTGCTACTGTTGGCCACCCACACAGAAATGGAGCAGGTACATCTGTTCAAATTAAACTGTCATTTGAATACTACACATAAGATGGCGGCCTTAGGATGTTTGATGTTGTTGTCATGGAAATGAGTAGTAGAAAAGATAAGCTGTTTCCATGGCAAAAGTGTCACTTGGCTGAACATACAGTAGCAGTGCCACTTGTGTTCAACACTCACTAACAGTGTCATGCTCTGCCCACACATGAAACGCTTTTGATTTACAAGTAGCATTTTTAAAATTCAGCAGGAGTCAGTTATTTTAGGTTTACTCTGAAGGAGAGACCTGACTGAGCTCTCGCATGGATGGTAAACATATATTTTTATACGTACTGTGCTGTGTAATACACCAGGGTGTATACATACACGTTGAAGAATAAAGGTTCACTTGCATTTTAACATCCATCTCAAGATGATGTTTAATTAATGTCACAAATCCCATGCTCAAATCCAAAACCAAACTCGTTGTCAAATCCCCTGCATCTGCAAACCACAGGCACAGCATGTGGTGTTTTAACATGGAGCTTTAATTTACAGCATTACTTAACGCTCTGTCTAAAATGAGAGATTAATCCACAAGGCTTTACAATAGCAGTGATTGAACTTCCGATGTGTGATGTGCTGTGTGTGTGTGTGTGTGTGTGTGTGTGTGTGTGTGTGTGTGTGTGTGTGTGTGTGTGTGTGTGTGTGTGTGTGTGTGTGTGTGTGTGTGTTGTACAGGGAGCTGGAGCTGTCATCTGTGTCTGAGACAACTGAAGGAGAAGGCCTCAGCCTACATCACCCTCACTTAATCTGCGGAGCTGCGCCTCATACTCTCAGCCCTTCATCCTCTCCCAAACCACCTCTCCGTCACCCCTCTCTGTGCCTCAGCTGCCCCCTTCCTCCTCTGATCCATTCGCCGCCACTTCCTCTACAACTCGTCCCAGTGACCTTTGACACGACTGAGCACGCAGCACCCACAACGCCGCGCCCATTCTTGAACGTCTGTCCAGCGGCGAGCTAACCTCCGTCCTTTTGTGTCACTCACATTCCCTGATGTGCTTAACCTGAATACACATTCCCCCAGTTTCCTGCTCTGTCTCAACAGAGGAATTCATCAGCTGGCAAGACGTTTGCTAGTGAGAAACACACTCCAGCCTGCCAAGGGCACTTCAGAGGCATACTACTCCACAGGAACCCTCTTAAGGGCCCTTGGAAGAGCCCTAATGATCTTCAGCTGCAACTCAGTCAAGTAGTGAGTGAGAATTAATAAGATGGATAGGTGTTAGGCCGAGGACAGGGCCTGGAAGACCCTGGATAATCATGGAGCAGTATGTTTCAGTGTTAGCCAACTGTGAAATATACACCTAACCAAAATTTCATTTACTCCCTCTGTCCTTTACCGTGTACAGCAGAGCTGAGACGTTGAACTCTGCTCTGCTATTTGTCTGCAGGGCTCGCTTCCCTGTGCCGTTTCAAAGGGGAATGAATTGTACAGAATTCAGATCGATTCTCTATCTACACACTCTTGAAAACTCCCCTCACTGGCAAACAATGAGCATCTGGTCAGGAACTCAGACCATCTTTGACCTCACCGTGTCCTCTCCCCATGCATGTGGTTTCCACAAACGAATGATGCATTTTGGGATTGACACTGAAGGTTTTAGTGTTCGGATGTGATCCTCGGATGAGAGGAGAGGTGGATTTTTCTCTAATCAGCTATCTCTGATCAAACAGTGTATTTAAAAATGACAATTTAGGCTTAGCATCTCTCACAAATCCTTTACCTGACCTTTATCCGCCCTTCACTTCTATGAAACAATGACTGTGAAGCCAGTGTGAGACTGAAACACTCCTGGTGCTTGGTGTGTATTATCTGTGTGTTAAGAATGTAGGATTGATGTGTGGACAATGCAGATCTTGTCTGGCCCATGCGGAGGCCGAAAAACTTCTTTTTTATGATTCTTCTTTTATTTTGTTTCATTTGCATGTTGTTATTTCAGTTGTTTTTAAAGACTTTTGATTGAAATTGAAAAGAAAGCACACTTAATTCGCAATAATGTGTTTGTGATATGAACTATTTTGGCCAAACTGGGTGTGTTTTAAACTGTGTGTGTGTGTGTGTGCCTGTGTGTCTGATTGCGCAAGTTTATCTGAGCACTACAATTACTGTAGCCAGCTCCATGTTAGGTGGTATCTGTGAGAGGATTTGAGTAGCACGAAGGTAATGTGAATGTAAGGAAGTCAGCATTTTCCACGCTCAGGAATTCTGACGGAGGTGGGATAAAGTCATTGTTTTGCAAAGTCTCAAGTCTTAAGTCAAGACCAACAAGTTAAGTTAAAGACATAGTTTGACATTTTGGGAAATAGATACAAAATTTTAAGTGTAAAAAAAGTTATGGTTTTACAGGGGTTACGGGCTGGACGCTTTCTTGGCAGTAACTCCAGGAAGTCACTGTGCCCAGTCTGGCACATAATCCACTGTAAAATCACAAATTCTCACTTTCCCCTTTTGTTTATTATGGATTGACAAAAACAAACATGTTACATAACTAAAGCCATAATTGATAATGTTGTGAAGTAGCGTGGGATTGTGGGAGATGTTGTTTCCATTGTTAAACATCCGCCAGTGGCAATGAAAATCTATCTGACATGACTCAGGCAGAAATCAGCAACGAGGTAATGTATTAAAGTTTTATCCACATTACTTTTAGTCACATTCGCTGTTCTCCTGCCATTGACAGGTGACCAAATAAAACCTTGAATAAAAATACAGATTTATCTGGTTTGAACATAGCTGGAGCACACAACTCAACAAAACATATAACGTAGGTCTAGTTGTTTTTAGACATTTAAATGCAGAAATGTTACATGTTATACATTTAAAGCTAAGCTAAGTTAACCATCTCCTGACTGTAGCTTCATATTTGTTAGACAGCTATGAAAGTGGTATCAATTTTCTCAACTAACTCTCGTCAATACAGTGAATGAGTGTATTTCCCAAAATTTCAAATTATTCCTAAACATCAAGCCCATTTAATAATAGAGTTTTGAGTTTTTTTCTAAAGTTATTATTTTCATACCACATGTTTAAATCATTAAAGAGTAACTTTGGTATTTTTCAACCTGGATTTTCACATGTTTTTGTGTCTATGTCTAATTGGGACCACTATTTTTTGTAATTGGTTCACTATTGAGTGAGCATGCTGCAGTTGGCAGCAGCGAAACAGGGCTGCAACTGACAGGCTCAGATTGTTATTACAAGTGTCTGACAACATTGTGGAAAGTATCCCTACAGAGATAGACCTTTAAAAATAAAATAAAAATAGAGTAATATTGTTTTTGTTAACCTGAAACAGTTGCTGTATTGCTCTAAGTCAAAGCCACCATATTGACAGAAATATAAATTTTACCTCTCTTATCTACCTGAAGTCACACAATAACACAAACAAACTAACTGACTGAGGCAGCGGTAGATTGTATGGATCCTTTCCACAAAGTTGTCAGACACTAACAATCAGAGCCTGTCAGCAGCAAAAGCAAGCACTTGGAAGTACTTTGACGGACACAATTGCCCCTCAAGGATTAAGTTGCAGCCCTGTTTTGCTGCTGCTGAATGCAGTGCACTCGCTCAATACTGGACCACTTTCAGAAAATGTAGTTGCAATTAGTCACATAGCCACAAAAACATGGGAAAATAAGGTTGGAAAATACCAAAGTTACCCTTCAACTACATAGTAACATCTGCATTTCATTTATTCCTAAACACCAAAGCTCTTAATGTGAGTATCAGTGTTTTCCCCTTTCTTCTCTCATAACTCTCTGATTTTACTACACAACATGTAGGAGAACAACTCTTGGATAAATATCACCACAACACACTGACTGTGTCTGAGGTAATTGATTTTATGTTTGCTAAGCTCTTTGTTACTAGCGTAAAGCGATACTTCACCCAACATATGTCCTTTTAGGATCAAACACACTTTTCGTCTTGAACTGTGGCTTTTAACAGACATTAAACCACTCCTTAACTTAATCCACTTCCTCACTTTACATTTTGATCTAAACGCTCATAGTATCACCAAAGTATGGTAAGTACACTGCTTCTGTTTGAGACTCACTTACACACATGACACATTCTAAAGCATTAGCTTTAATAAAAAATTTTTTTTGTACTTTGTGACGGAACTAAAAAATAAGTGAGATCAAGCTGCATTAGTTTGCAAGCTTGCCAGCTCTGTTTCTCCCCACGTAAAACAAACTGTTTCTATCATCTTTGTGTCCTGCAAAACATGAGACCACCTGTTTTTGTGAAACATTGGTAAGAGAAGTTGTTGTTTAAAAAAATCTGCTATCTGCCAGTCTGCTCTGCACGTTAGAAGCCACTATAATAAATCAGCAGTTAAAGACCAAGCGGAAATGTTAAAGCTGAGTAATGGGATTAATCTAGACAGCCAGCCAGCATGTATTTCTGTGATCTTGCACTGAGAAAATTTTATTTTTTCTTTTAACCCAATGGCCCATCATGTTATCCTCAACCAGTATAACTGGACTTCCCAAGGCAACTTTAATGGGCACATTACAAGATAAGTGAAGTGTAAGCGCTGATTTAGGAGGATTTAAGAGGTTTTCAACATTTCTGAATTGTTTGTATAGAGAAGGCATCCAGCCAGTGATTTTGAGCTTTAAGCTTGGAGACAATAGCTGTAAATACAGTACTGAATTAAGGGCAACAAATTGCCATTTCATACAGTATTTCATATTCTTGTGTACATATCAAAGTATGAAACAGGTCAAATTCAGTTGGTTTTGGTTCAAGTGACCATCTTATTTTAATGCTGCATCACGTTCCTTAAAGGAAACTTGCAAGATCAGATGGCTTGTGGGAATGTACCTGAAATGTAATTGTGTTTGCCATCTGATACAGAAAGACTTTAGGTGCAAATACTGTGCTAACCCCCAATTCAATGTAACTCCACAGATGCATGAATGACACCTGAAATGTTTCTGATTTCATATTTTGATATTGTCAGTATTGCTTTTTTAAAATAATGATGAGAAGTAACCTTTAACTTATGTTCACTTCCTGTTTTTTTACCCCTTGTTTGGTTTTGTGATCTGTGTTTTTTCACATTTTGCACAGCGTGGCTGCATTTGCTCTCTAAGTGTGTTTATGCCTCTGTTTGTGTGTGTCTGTGTGTCTGTATGTGTGTGTATAACCACTTATGATTACTGGAAGGTCGGAGAAAAGCAAACCGAACCGATTATTCTGCAGACATTTTGTTCTCGGTGAAACCACTTGCATGGCACAGCACTGCTATGTTGTTGAGTACAGATTACAACAAAAGTGTACTTGAGTGTACACATTTCACACAAGGCAGTTGGCTAAAGAATATTTTTTATTCTACAATGTGTTAAGTCAGTGTTATATTTGCCAACAAAAGCAGTAGCAGCCAATTAAAAAAAGAGCCAATCAGAACTAACATCTGAATCTGAAGTGTGTTTGAGTGGAAAAAGTATGATGATGTAATGAGTGTTGTGTGGCGAATGGATGATGATGATGATGTCGATGGTGACTGTTTATATTGAGAGCTTTCCTGGCACTTATTAGGAGAAGCATGGTGGAGTCAAACTGATTTGATTGTACTGTCTGGGGAGGGTGGGGCTTTTGGACGGGTGTCAGCGTGATTATTTAATGACACTTGAACCTTCCCTTTGTACAAATGGACAAACCAAGGTGGTGATGATGATGATGGTGGGGATGGTCAAACAAGTTGGTGCCATTTCACCCATCTCCCCACATTTTAGGCTGTTGGGGGCGGCTCAGTCAGAGGGTTGATGCTTTGGGCCACACTAGGCCTCTCTTGTAAATTGTCGTTCTGTGATCTTGCTTGCACTTCTTTTTTCATTTCCCAAAAATAAGAAACTAATTGTAAGTATGTATGTATGTATGTGTGTGTGTGTGTGTGTGTGTGTGTGTGTGTGTGTGGGTGGGTGGGTGCACTTTTTATTTTTAATCTTTTTTCAACGTGATTGTCTGTTGTAAACAACACTGGATAAAGATGAGTTTTTAATTTGTTTTTTACCTTGTGAGGAAGATGAAATCTTCTTGGACATTTTTTTAACCCCCCTCTCCCTCGCCCTTTCCTCCCTCTCTCGCTCTTTCTCTGTCTGGTACCTGGGAATGCTTTGAAATGTGGAATGTGACCGCATTGCTGTCATCACTGCAGTCAGTCATTCTCTGTGAATTCATCCGACTTTCTCAATTTACCCAGTTTTTTCACTCTACCCTCAGCTCATTTTTTTCCATTAAAAAGATGAGATTGAAAAATGACCTCTACCTTTGTGTTGTCATTGTGTGTATGTGTGTGTGTGTGGTTGTGTGTGTGTGCATTTATTTGCTCTACTTCCTCCAGAATAAATCACTGAATATTTGTGTGTTTTTGGACAGTAGCCTTGTCTGTCTGCTCATCTGGTTGTCTGTTGTTGCCAACCAGGCCAGCTTACTTGTCAGTTTAACATTTTTTTTCTCAGGTGGGGAGGTCTTTCTTGCCCACACAATTCTTCCCTCACATGCACTTATATTTGTGGGCTAGAAGCTGAGGCTAACGTCAACCATTTTTTCACTATGCAGATTACAATTATCAAAGCAGTATGTTCAAAGTCAGCAATCAAACCCTGAATAACTCATTATCATTTCCAATTTAAATACACTTTGTGGCTAAAACACATTCACTAAAACTCTTGTCTTTTTTGCAGCGCACTCCAAAAATGTCTAACCTTTTCATGTGTTTGAAAAAGGAACAAATTGGCTATGAATTGACTAAAGATTAAGGGACATCATTGTTTTGCTTCTTTAGCTGGCCTGAAAAACTGGAAACGGGGGACAAAAGAGCCCCATTGTCTGCAGTTGTTTTCGAACAACACTGCAGAAGAGAATACACTTTGCTATTCAGGGCAGGTACAGTTTTGCTGTTTGTGATGTATTCCTGGAGATGAGACATTCATCATAGCTGCTGTGTTGGCCAGACCTGGCTGAGCAACAGCAGCAGGGTGAAGTCAAGCTGATCAACAATTCCATTTCTTCCCATACCTGCTTCCTTCCAGAAGCCAGAAAAACAAAACAAAAAAAAAACAGTGCACACTTGGTTCCTTGGGGGAATATAGGTATTTTTAACAATATGCTCCAAAAAAACTCCTCCATCCATCCTTTGGCAAAGCTCCAACCTTATCCAAAATCCTGCACAGCACCCCCAACCCCCGCCATCCTGTGCATACAGAAACCCACACACAAACTCCCGTGTACCACACACACTCAGACATGTGCGCACACAAAGATGCACTTTCACACACATACTGTACAGAATACACATGCACACACAGCCTAGAGCCCCCATCTTCTTATGAGCTTCATTACTCTGACCCTAGTCTCCCTTTCATATCTCTGAGGATGTTTATGCTGTGTGTGTGTGTGTGTGTGTGTGTGTGTCTTCCACTCAATCCCCAATAGAATATGTGTATGTATATGTATTTAGGCCCAAAGTAAGCACACATGTGTTTATATGTGCGTGTGTTTGTGTACATGTGCGAAGATGTGTATACTATAAGTCAATGTGTGAATACTGTACTATGTGTATGTAGCGTGTGTGTGTGTGTATGTGTGTGTGTGTGTGCATGTGTGCATGTATGTGTATGACTTCCCAGCCAATTACCACATCTCCCAGACAGACTGAGACTGCCTAGGCACTGCCAGCCAATCAGAGAGGGGCTGCGCA